GGGTAAACGCGGCATCCGGTCTCAACAGCGACTCGATTCGATTCAAAACACACGCCGTATGCGCATAAGCGATTGGACGCGAGAGACGGGGCCGATCTATTGCGCGCGGATCGGCGCATCCAACGCGATAAATCGCGACCCGGCGAAACAAATCACTCGGCGAGACCGATCGATCCTATCTTCCCGCGTCGATCCCTCGCGTCCGCGACATAATTCCTACAATGGCGGCGAACCGTCGCGAATTACACACTTGCATAATCCATCGAATCGATTAATCACCGACCGAGATTGCCGGAGATTTGTCGCGTAACCACGATTCAGCTTCTCGCTCGGAACCCGCCACCACCGTCCAATCGATCAACCCCTCTCCTCCGTTTTGATAGCGCCAACAAATCGTTCCTTCCACCGATACTTTTTAGCTCGCGTATCCGTCGTCGGTTATATCGGTTATATAGCCGCGTTTCAACATGTTTCGCCGAGTACGTCGTAACTTCGATACGTCATCCGTTTATGGGGAACGCGTCGATACGAGAGTCGGTTGAATGCGTTTCATCCGTGGATAAGAATTACGGATGTCCCGTTAAACGATCGGTGTTGCAAAAAAGGACACCGCAGCCTCGTCGTATAAATACATATCACCCGATGAGTCCTCGTCACCCTTATATAATCGACAAACGGATCACCATTGACCCGAACGCGACTGCGAATCACGATACGACGACGATAACGACGGCGACAGATCATTCCACGGACCACGTCTGTCTCTTCTTCGTTCCTCTTTCTAAAGCTCTTCGAAAAAGCTAGATCGAACGGTGTTCTCTGACGAGGCGAAATGCTTCGCGAGTAAACGCGAAAATCAGAAGTGACGCAAGAATAAGGGGAGTCGGAGAGGAGGCGGATATAAGAAGAAGGAGAAAGAGGAGGAAGAAAAGAGGAGGAGGAGGAGGAGAAGAAGAAGAAAACGACGACGACCACTCGCAATTAAACACGGCGTAAGTCTCGCTCCGAGGATAATGCCCCGGAATGCTGATAATTGGCTGAGCCGTCGGGGCGACCCGAGACGATGGGCGCTCCGTGCACCTGGCAGCACGGCACTGCAAGATCATCGGCTCGCGATCCCTCGTGTCTAATTGATTCCAAGTGATTTATATTACCTGCTTGCTCCTCTTCGCCTCCAACATTCCCAGCCCTCCATGCTCCTCTATCTTCTCTCCGCCACGAACGCTCGCTCCATCTTTGCACGAATATCGAATCCTTTCCGATTCGTTCGCGATCCAGGCTCGAGGATCTCGGGTCGAGGTCCTTCTGAAAACGAGAAGAAAATGGATCCGGAAGTGGAGACGAGACTCGACCACGATCCAGTTGCGTAAAATCTGATCTCGAACGAGGGATCGCAAAGGAAGGAGGCGGAAGAGCGAAGGAAAGAGGAGAGAGGAGAGAGAGAGAGAGAGAAAGAGAGAGGAGCGGAGGGATCGAGATCGAGCGGACTGGAGGCAAAAGGCAGGTAGCGGAGACGCGGAACACGGTGAGGGAATACAAGCTCGGAGGCAAGAAGCGAGGCAGAGGGCCTTTCGCTCTCCAACCTCGATATCAGATCGCTCGTATAAAACTATCGTATCGTTTAAATACGCACTGAAAGGTGAGGCGATGCATCGGAAGATACGCGGGCGGTGGCAGGTTGCCTCTCGTTCCGTCCGTCCGTCCGTCCGTTCATCCGTCCGCGTGTCGATCCGCGCCGAAGATACCCGGCTGGAATCCATGGGAACCACGGCGAACCGAGCTTAACGCGTATAACCCCCTTCTTCTTCCCAGCCTCGCGCGCAGACCCAACAGCCACCGCACACCGCCACCGTTCCTTCCCTTTTCTTTCTCCCTCGCTTTCCCCCTCTCCCCACAGTTCCACCCTTTCCATCGCCGCGTTTCCTCTCGCGTTTTCTTCCTCGCGATGTCCTCCGAGATTTCGTGCCGCGCGGCATTAGTATTCGCGACTGGTTTTCGCTTAAACGTTCGAAAAGGATAATTGCCTCGCGGCGTGGAAACGCTTCGAGTGCACCGTTCGATTCGATCGAATGCCCCGACTCCACCGATTCCCCATAGATACGCGCGCTCCCGATACTTTGACGGAGAGCGAGCCGATACCGCGCCCGCGCCTCCAAAGGAATCGGTAATTGGCCCCGCATTCCGCCTCCCGATTATAAGTTAATCCGTTAACGGACCACGCGGAATCGCGAAATTCTATCGGTTCTCGCGCGAGAAAGGAGCGGACTCCCTGGATCGTGGAAACTTAGGAGAGGAGAAGAGAACGGCGAGAGAGAGAGAAAGGAGGGTGGGAGGGAGGNGTTCTGGATACGCGGAAATAAAGAAGTGGTTGGGAGGAGGAGGGATTTGCAAAACCCGGATGCTCGGACAGGTGAGAGACAATGGGTGACAGGGAACCGTTGGACGGAGGCGGTGGTGATCTGCCGTTTTGAAAAGGGGTGGAACTCCGGCGTGCATTGTCCGCTTAATGATGGAGTGGAGACGTGACAGGTGAAACCGAATACACACGCCACCGAAATTCTCCCCCAACAGTCTTTTTCAGAGCCTTTCGACGATCGTCCACCACTTCGAAATGTCGACCCTGTCGCGAGCAACTTTTGCACGCTGCAACTCCGTGAAATTCTTCCGCTTCTTCGAGGACGTTCTTTCTTTCCAAAGTCTGGCCAGGATTTCCAAACGGAGTCTTCTTTTTCTTCTTCTTCTTCTTCTTCTTCTTTATATTACGAATTATATTAAATTCCGTTTCCGCCTATTCAGCGGATGGATATTCGATTAATCGACTTATCTTCCCTTTGCAATTACCCTGTTCAACGTAATCCGATTTCATTCCTCGACTTGGACGATAATCCGGCGAGAGAATAGATATTTTCTCAGGGTCGGAGAGATAAAGGACGAGAGACGTCTAATCGATTTCGAAATCGATCCGATACTTGCAGATACCAGGGAGACGGGTTTCGTGAACGCCATCACCGCGGCCGGGGTAACATACGCGGTCACCAGAGCCTGCACTATGGGACATCTCGTCGAATGCTCTTGCGACAAGATGACGTCCAAAGGTAATATTTGCTTTTCAATATATTCTTTTGAGAAATCTGGCAATGTTATCGATCTCTAAATCTATTCCTTTAGCCCATAATTCTTCAAACGCGTTATTTGTTCTCTCCTCTCTTCTTCCATTTATTTTCCCATCATTTCGAGCAATGACAATTTTTGGATGTTCTCGCGAATGACACAAATTGCACAGGTAATAAGCTCGCCAAATTGAGCCGCACCGTCGAAATGGAGAAGAGTTTGCCGACCGAGGGTGACTGGGAGTGGGGAGGTTGCGGCGACAACGTGAAATTCGGCTTCAAGAAGTCGCGAGACTTCATGGACGCTCCTTATCGAAAACGCAGCGACATCAAGACTCTGGTCAAGCTGCACAACAATAACGCCGGTCGTTTGGTACGCAACTTTCCTCCCTTTCTCTCCCTTCGAGATTCGACCAACTTGGTCTACTATTACTACTACTTCCGTTTTTTCTTCTTCTTGTCTGTCCATATACCACCGACAGGCCATCAGAGAGTTTATGAGCACGGAATGCAAGTGTCACGGTCTCTCCGGATCGTGCACGGTTCGAACCTGTTGGCGGAAAATGCCACCGTTCCGGGACGTGGGGAACAGGCTGAAAGAGTCGTTCGACGGCGCGGCCAAGGTGATACCGAGCAACGACGGGCACAGCTTCATCACCGAGGGGCCGACCATCAAGCCGCCGGACAGATTCGATCTGATTTACAGCGAGGACTCGCCCGACTTCTGCAAGCCGAACAGAAAAACGGGCTCGCTGGGTACGCAGGGACGACGATGCAACTCCACCAGTCAGGGAGTGGACGGATGCGAGCTCCTCTGTTGCGGCAGGGGATACGACACGAGGGTCG